GCACATAGCTGGAGGGGGGGGGGGGGGGGGCATGGGCGAGAGAAAAACAATCACATCACATCAAAGTCTTATAGTTCATTTTCTTTGGAAAGCAGCAACAGCCCAAGTAGAAAAGCCTGCCCCTTACCAGCATGTTGTAGAGAAAGACCCTTGCCCTGTGATCCACCAGCTATAGAGCAACTACTAATCAAATATCTTCCTCTGGCAGTCATGCCTGTGGCTGTCAGTCTTGCAATGCCTCATGGGATTTAGAGTTGCACCACAGCTGGAGGGTCGGAGTTTTTCTACGTCTGCTCTAAGAGAAAGCAGTGGGCTTTCTGCAGAGGTCTGACATGCCCCCAGCCAATAGTTAAGTGCTCATTCACAGGGTTATTCACTAAATGGTGAAGAGTTTGGAGAAGGCAAGAGAAGTTAACAATCTAGGCCAAAAAAAGCCGATATAGAAAACAATTCTCCAATTCAGCTCACTTTCCAGTTCAGCTATGTTGTCCTAGATTGCTCACTTCTCCTGCCTTCTCCAAACCTTTTGTGAATAATTCTGTAAGTCTGGAGGGACTCAAAGCAGACTTACCTGATCCATTCTTTTGCGGTGCTCAGCCCTCACCCCACTCCCGCTCTGCACCAGCGGTCGAATGTCCTCACATCTAATACACAACAATGGACCTGCATAAGACATGATGTTTGCGGACCACCGAAGCCCAGGGGAGAAGAGGCTGCAGGGACCGGTCTAGCAGCCCGAAGGGAGCAGACGGGACTTAGGATCAGGTAAATAAAACCCGTAAACAAAATGAGCACTTAACACTGGCAGTGCAGAGATGTAAACAAAACAGTTAGGTGGTTTAAATCTCCAGTATCTGCTACAACCTAAAAGGTTAGTTTTGTATGGACTGTTTCCGATTCTTAGTTAAGCAATGCAGGTCACAAGCAAAGCATGCACTATATAAAGAGGGAACAGATAAGGTGAAGACAAGACAAGGTGGATTAAGTGGAAACGGAAGCACGGCATGCAGTATGATCATGCAACGTGAGGTGGTTCTCCCATCACGGGAATCATGCAACAGTGTTAATCTTACTTGGCGTGCCAGTGCAGGGCTGGGAAGCGTGCAGTAGAGGAGAGCTGGAGGTGAGAGGGGAACTGGAGAGCTCCATAGTACTTTGACACAAGCGCTTGGTTACAGTGATATCCAGATCAGCCGTGTCCATCATCTCGATAGAACTCAGTCGCTTCTGTAGCCGGCACTGTGCAGACTGGGTGGGTTTGACCGTAATCTCAGCCACGGGAGCGTTTATGCTAGAGCAAGAGCCTAGGCAATCACCCAGACTTTGTGATCTAGGCAGTCTTCTAGAATCGGGGATAGGCCAACGTTGCAGAGTTTGTGCTTGACCGCCAGAAGATGGCAAACAATGAGCATTTTCTCCTAAGAGTGCAGAATTGTCCTCTAATGGCAGCGGATTTGGAGAGCAAGTATTTGAACTGGGAGAAGAGTCAGCAATGCTGGCATCATTACTGGAATATGACACATCGGCGATGCCTTCCAAGGAGCAGCTGCGCACCCGGACTCGGTAGGGCCCGCTAGCATCGTTTCCAGAAACCGAGAGATTCTGGCAGCTGCCGCCGATTACCCTGCTGCCCCTTGACCGCCTTTCAACGGTGCCGTGCAGCTGGGCCCTGCGTGAATTGCATTGAACGAAGTCCTGGTGCTCCCGGCCAATCTCGCCAAAGGTGTCCACGAGATCCTGCTCCTCTTCGTTGGGAACTTTGCGCAGCAAACTAAGGAGGAGGCATTCCGTGGACTTAAAGTTGTCATCGCCCAGCTGCAGAGGCTTAGATTGCTGCGGCTTAGAACCTCCCTTCTTTGGTTTACGTTTCGTGTTGCGCCTGTGGGGTACTGTAATGTAGCCACATAGTACTATCAAGGAATGAAATACATGTTAAATATACCGGAGGAATGTGAGGGGGACACATAGCAGCCAAGAAATTAGTATAGACAGCAGTGGCAAAACATTTGTTTACTAGACAAACTGTATTAAATAAGCAATGCCATTAGGAAGGTTAAACTTTGGAAAGTTAGCAATACAAAATAACAATTTTTCTTTTTAGTAATAAAAAAAAAAAAAAAAAAAAAACGCACAAAAAAACCCCTCAGGGCTCGTTCACACTAGCCTGCACGCTAAAACATGTGCGCTCTTGGTGTGCCTTGTGGGGCAGCGCAATGCAGCATTATTGAGTGACTGTGCCACATGGAAAACAATTGGTTTCTATGTGCCCTTATGTTGCATATGCAGCTAAATGCACATGGTATGAACAAGCCCTCATAAGTCAAATGTAGTGTTGCAAATGATGAAGGGGAGAAAAAAAAAAGAAAAAAAACCACCACTCACAGTGCCACTTACACATTGGCGCTTAGCTCATGCATATAAGCTGCCAATAAGCTCTCAGGTGAACATAGGTTGTAATGTGCACACTCACCATCTGCCAACAGCCTGGATGCATATTAGGATCTAGGGCAAAGCTACCACAAAAAAAAGCTACACATATGGATCATGCCAGGACCGCAGACATAGGGGCTCAGCTGCAGACATTACATCATACATACCCAAAATATTCACAAAGAGCTCATAGTACTCGTAGGTGAGAAGGGGCTCCGGCAGATTCAGGAAATAGTCAGCGACCGTTCTAAAAACGTCTCGTTCAAACCCTGGATAGGTAGGCTGGCTCAGATCGTTGTTTCGTGGCCCTAAAGCCAAAACAGAAATAAAAGCGTTCACAAATGGTGCAAAAAAAACCCCAAAATAAGCATTTTCTGAAAGATGTGCAACAAATTAATTCTCAGAAGACAAAAGTATAAACTTGTGAAAAAGGATCCAAAGACAACAAGTGAGCCAAGACTTGTCTTTGTTACACCTTCAACAGATTAGAAGTCGAAAATACGCCAATGTCAACATTTTATTAACAATAGAAAGATTGCTGCCAATATTATCTTATGTGACGTGCTGTGTGTACATTCAGGCTCCAGTCTTAAGGTTGGAGAAATGTGTTCGCAGATACACTTCTTGGAATAAAGGCTTTTATTTTTTTAAATATAAAATAGTTATTGCTCTTGGCAACCAAATGTGGATAATGAGAAGTGACAGACAGCTCTGCTTGAATTCAAAATGGCTTCAATGCAGGCAATCAAGTATTTTAGACTTGAACACACCGAGCGAGTCCACAGTGATATACTTACAGTTTGCCAGACATTTCATAGCAGACAAGACCCAGTGAGGCAGATCATCTAAAAACAAAGCCATGGATGTCATAATTAGAGTGTATTTACATTTGAACCAGTCCCTGCCCTGCTAAAAATAGATTATACCCTGACCACAGTCACTCATGTAGCACTGCAAGCCAATAAAGTCCACCATGAACTATATAAATTTCTGGGAGGAAATTGGCACACCCGAAGCAAAGTCATGTAGAAAATATACATACAAAGTCCACATGAAAGTAAATTCGGGGGGGGGGTATGGGCACCAGTATTTATATAGCGCTCACAAGGTTTTACGCAGCACTTTACATAAGTGCACATTCACATCAGTCCCTGTCCTCAAGGAGATTACAATCTAAGGTCCGCATCTCACGTACATTCATATGGGGGCCAATTTAGACTGGATCCAATTAACCTTCCAGCATGTCTTTGGGGTGTGGGAGGAAACCGGAGTACCCGGGGAAAACCCACAAGCAAACTCCCTCGGATTTTAACTGGGTACGACCCCCTGTACTGCAAGGCAGAAGTGTCAACCACAACACCACTGTGTTGCAGGAGAGATGACCACCAAGTTACTGTGCTGCATCAGGTACACTGGATAAGATAAAATGGGACCAACCTGTCTTATCTTGTAGAAAGACCACTCCGTGTTTGCTTGTGTGGGTCATATTGTACATGATGTGAGCCGGATTTATCTGAGCTGGATTTAACACTTCATCCATTGATGGCAAGGCCAGGATTTTCTGCAGGCTGGTTAGATTAGACAAGGGGCATCAGATAAGCAAGGTACGCAGAAGTCAAAACAGCAGGCTACAATTGTTCAAAGTGATCTCGTCAGGCTCAAAAAACAAAAAACCTATTGGCAAGGAAAGCACCAACAGAAGACGTATTCTACTCCCTTCTCTGGCAGGCCACAACAACTTCTACCTTACAATGCTGCAGCCACTGGAAATGGAGGATGGAAGCACAGCACACAGCAATCAGACACTTGTGGAAGTGCCAAATGCTGAAAGTACTGGAGGCCACAACGCAGGAACAGAGGGAAGGAAGGAAACAAGGACCGCTGGGGAGGAGATTAGAAGACCTCTTTTAGGGAAGTGCCGTTATGGTTGTTTTAATCTATGACAGTCTCATTAAACACAAAAAAAAAAGAAGGAGGAAAAACCAGTACGCATGCACAAACAAATATACAAATATATACAATATATAGCAGGGCTTCCCTTAGAGGGAGGCAGGGTTTCCATCCTCACAATCTCCAAAAATTACAGTGCAAAAGTCTTGGGAGCAAACTATACGCTATGTAGAACATTAGAGAAGGGAAGTGTACAGGGGCTGCAAATTATTCATTTAGCTACAAAACTCTAAAAGATTTCCTTGGCTATGGAAGCGTCTTCAGAAGTCATGAGATCTACAAGACACACATTATTATAGGATAAGGAAAGTGATAATTTCCAGAGCTAGCATTTTTGCCAGGTCCATGGCACCCCTCATCCTCTGCCTACACATTGGACTATAGGTGGTACCTAACCACTCAAGCAAAAATTCCCCCACCAACCTATAGTGCAGGCACACCTAGCGCACGTCCGGTTTTAACTACTAGGTGCCCTGCGCCAACTCGAGATTTAAGATGTCAAAAAGTTTCCCTTTTGACATGTGCCGGCAACGGTCATAGTTCTTTGTAGGAACCAGCATCCAGTCCTGTGCTTCTACTCCTTAAAGTCGGCAAAAGCAAAAAGGGTGGAGAGAAAGAATTGGGCATGTGGCTAAGGAGCTCCACTAAAGACCCAGGTTGGTCATTAGGGCCCCAAAAGCAATGGAAAACCAAAATATTGTATTCTGTGTTGAAGATGGTCAACCTTCACCCAAGAGAGCCAACAGATGAACAGTCTGTAAGTGTGATGACATCAGCACAACATTTAGACAACAAGTTATTGAAACAGGAAGCTTACTAAGTCAAGGTGATGTTCCCCCAGATATCCTCAATGTCTTTCTGGGCAAGTTCTTTGGGACCACTTTCATCACCACAGTGATCATCTTCCATCATCATGTCTACCCGCTCATTCTCTTGTTCACCCTGGAATAACACAGAAATCAATGCAGGCCAAGCAAACCACCAAGAAGGGTCAGTCCAATTATTATTATTTTTTTAATATCGTAAATAACTCATTAATGTCCTTAAAAGACATCCCTCATATCTCTTAAAGCGGTGATCCCCAAACACTACGGATTCGGGATGATTCAAGTGCAGGACTACAAACCTCAGCAATGCATTAAACAGCAATGCAGAATACCACCTGCTATAGAGCAGCACAAATCACAGCAATACATTATACAGCAATGCAGAATACTAGCAGCTAGCAGCAGGGGTGCAGAGGGTCTCAGGACATGGTTGCCGACGGGCCACGGACCGGTACTGGTCTGCAGCCCAGAAGTTGGGGACCCCCATCTTAAAGCCCATCTCCGTGCAAGCAAAAACAAAAACCACACCTCTATCCTTGCAGTGGGACTAGATGCAAGTGCTAATTTTTGTCTTGGGACTGCAGAAAATCAGATTCACTTACCTGAACCCCACCCCAGTCATGCCACCATACCAGGGTAATGGGGGTGTACACAGTACAGCATATGCACAGTGAACACAGACACAATTTGCTAGGAGCAAAGGGGATTTTTTTGGCAGAAGAGACTTTTCAAACAATCTCTACCGCCTAGCAATTTATTTTTGTAGAGATTAGTTCAGTCTTAAAGTACAAATTTCTATTGCTATTTCAAATGCTGATGAAATCACTTACAATGGATGCTGCTCCTTGACATTTAAAAGTTTTAGTTTCCTACAGAATCAGCTGCTCCCCTGGGCACTGGACCCAATATCCTCTTTTAGGGTGGCTCCTTTCCTTTTCAGGGTCCTATGGAGCCACCCTTGTGTGCTAGCAAGCTGCGTTTCTCTACAAACACAGCAGGGCAAGTCACTCCCCTCCCCCTGCTCTCCTTTCTTCCAGCTAGTAGCTGGAGAGTGTTCTGTCCCTTGTGCTCTTTTACTAGACAGGAAGTTCAGGGAAGCGGAGCTGAGGGAGTTGGAGCTGTTCGGAAACATGACTGTGCTTGTGCCTAAATCTAGGGCAATGTATGTTTGTGCCTAAATCTAGGGCAATGTATGTTTGTGCCTAAATCTAGGGCAATGTATATTTTTATTTGATCTGGATTCTAAATACCAATACTAAATACCCAACCACACGATGTACAAATGGCCCCTCTCCCCTCCTTGCAGTCTCAGTCGCTCACTCACCTGGCTATCCACAGAGTCATGTCGTTTAGGCGTCTTCTTGGAGAAATGCGGCATTTTGAACATATTGTCCCTCTCTTTGAAGGCATTCTCCAAGCTGCTTCGCTTCCAGAGAGGCTGCCGGTTGGGAATGGTCTTTACAGGAGAAGTGGAAGGGAACCTACAGCACAAAAAAAAATGACAATAATGCCTCGGCCTGCATACAACTATTTTTCTTTAATAAGTACAAAACCTTGCATGGTTGGCAGGTGATACCTGTACAGAGCGTGGCTATCCTCCAGGTCCTCGGTGCCCCATCTCCCCTTCAGGTCCTCAATGACGTGGTTCTTCAAGAACTTCCTCAGAAGCTGGATTGTCTGCTGCCTGGTCACCTCAGCCCCGAAATTGCTGTTATTCCTGAGGAGCTGATGCAGCCAGTCTGTGGCCTCCGAGGCCGTGAAACAGTTCCCATAAGTCTTAAAGTGTTGTCTGTGCTTCTTCAAGGGCATGCCCGCCCGAAAGTATTTTGTTACTTCATTCCACTGGAAGACAAAGAATGGCCATTAGATTAGCCCAGCGCTCAGGTTACAAGGTAAATATTGGCTGAAGCCCATTTCACACATTGGAGACCTCCAGACGGACAATAATCACAGTGATGGGCAGTAATGGTGAGGGGGATGTGATGGACCTGGGTGAAGGATTGGTGGTAAACAGAGAAGTCTGGAGAAAAACCAAACAATAGATAGGGAACGAGACTCCCTACAGTGGATATTGTTCCCTGGAGAAACCCCCCTGCGTCAAGAGCAGTTCCCTATGTACATAAACACGCACACTTATTTAATAGAATGGTGAACATTTCTGCCACGATTGCTCTAGGGAACTGCGACCGAGGGCAATCTAACAGCCATGTGCAATTAACCCTTTGTACATGTATGTAATCCAACTGAAAGCCATGCAAAGCACAGCCCAACACAAGATAATCAGATGCTGAAAAGCAAAACACGTACACACAAAAGTCTTATGTTTTCTTTAGACAATTAAATAATGTGGTTTTCAGATTTCATGAGAAGTGATGGGGTAAAACTTTGTTATTTTGTGCCACACTTATACATACACAGCACTGCGTGTCACAGTCATTCATACACAGCACTGCGTGTCACAGTCATTCATACACAGCACTGCGTGTCACAGTCATTCATACACAGCACTGCGTGTCACAGTCATTCATACACAGCACTGCGTGTCACAGTCATTCATACACAGCACTGCGTGTCACAGTCATTCATACACAGCACTGCGTGTCACAGTCATTCATACACAGCACTGCGTGTCACAGTCATTCATACACAGCACTGCGTGTCACAGTCATTCATACACAGCACTGCGTGTCACAGTCATTCATACACAGCACTGCGTGTCACAGTCATTCATACACAGCACTGCGTGTCACAGTCATTCATACACAGCACTGCGTGTCACAGTCATTCATACACAGCACTGCGTGTCACAGTCATCATACACAGCACTGCGTGTCACAGTCATCATACACAGCACTGCGTGTCACAGTCATCATACACAGCACTGCGTGTCACAGTCATCATACACAGCACTGCGTGTCACAGTCATCATACACAGCACTGCGTGTCACAGTCATCATACACAGCACTGCGTGTCACAGTCATCATACACAGCACTGGGTGCCACAGTCATCATACACAGCACTGGGTTCCACATACATGCAAATAGGTGTCACAGTCATCATACATAGCACTGCGTGTCACAGTCATCATACATAGCACTGCATGTCACATACATACATACATAGCACAGGGTGTCAGAATCATGCATTCATATATAGGAACAGGTGTCACATACATACATGTAACTGGGTGTCAGTCATCATACATAACACTGGGCGTCAAAATCGTGCATTCATACATTAGGGATAGGTGTCACACACATACATAGCACAGTGTCACAAATCATACCACTGGGTGTCAAAGTCATAATACATACATAGCACTGTGTGTCACATGCATACACTATATATATATATATATATATATA